GTTATCAGCACTCTTCTCATCCTAAGCCAAAACACAGCATTCCACCAGCTACTAGGAAGAAAATTAATTCTGTGCTAACTGAAACCAGGACAGCTTGACACCAAAATTATGAGCTCTTTTGTTGTCAGGCTGCCTCTTAATTTCCTTGTGTTTTTATATTGTAGTTTACGAGATAAAAATCTGTATACATATGCAAGATTCTAAAAGCAGAGCTATACTCTGCGTAATCATGTTATTGCCCTTACTTTGTCAGTTGAACAAACCAATCCATTGCTATTATCTTTTGCTGAGATGTCTGTAGAGTTGGTCTGATGTACTAAAACTGTTTTTTGCCATGGCTGAGCTGATAATTTTGAAAAAAATATCATTTGAAAAGCTAAGAATTAAAGCAGGCTTCACAACTGGAGATAGGTAGAGATGCTGGGTCTTCTAATTGGAAACCACTGTAGGTAGGTGAGATAGCTTTGACCTAATCTGTTGATCTGGGTTGTTTTAAAATAGCTGTAGATTATTGTAAAACAAAGGAGAAAAGGGAGAGAATGGTATACTGAAGGGTATATAGGGTATATGCAGCAGTACCTCCTGTTCTCCTAGAATTGTCTCATTAAAAAAAAAAAAAAAAAAAAAAAAAAAACCTCTAAGATTATATAATCAATTTTTAAACCTTTTTCCAGCTTTTTCCAACCTTTCTGGTTTGGCAGAAAGTTATTCACCTCAGAACATCAGGGAGCTTGCTAATTGTGGATGAAAGCATACCTAGTTGTCAGTTTAATATTTCAGCCTGCTTTACCTCTGTTCTCCTGTTAGAAATTCAGATTCCTGTGTGATATGACATTAATCCTCTAATAAAAAGTTTCAAAAGTACTTTACAGGGTTCTTGAACCTTCCATTCAGGAAATAACACCTATGTACACCTGAAGTTTTACTGAGCACCTGTCTACATTGCAGAAGTTGTAACCTCTTGTCTGTAGCGAAGACTGACTGTAGAATGTTAAATGAGGTCGGTGCCAGTGGCATGTAGTGGGTACCTTGGGAAGTATATAGAAACAGGACAATACATAGTGATGCTTCTTTCAGCTGTCAACAATCTGTATCTTTGATCTATGAGGTAAGAAACTAAATTTTCTTCCTAATTTTGAACACTCAATTTACTGCATTGGCAACAACTGAACAGCAAACTACTCTCAAGAAACCTTGCCTGTGTATGAACTGATTGTTTCTTGATGTTATCAGTACAAACAATGCATTTTAGTACTAAATAAAAGTGTATTATTGATATGCTGAACTGGTTTCAAGTGGTTTTTAATGTAGTTCAACATTCCTAAGCTTCATTCCCACATTGTGGAAGTAGAAGAGAGGTAGTGAGAGAAGTGAGAGAAGGTAACCCAAAATTTCTAGAGGTGTAGTTGGCATGAAGCAGCATGTTACCATTATGCACTATGTATGTGAGCAGTGACAAATTTTCCTCAGTGTGACCAAATTTTTCAAAGGATGTGAAGCACAGGCAAGGGAGCATAGGGTATGGAGGGTATTTCCAAATTATTTCCAAATTCAGCATTCTTTCTCAAGGACAAAGAGTGACAGTGCAACTTACTGTGTATAATGGGGTCAGAGAAGGAGTATGTGCTTAGACTTATGGCCTTAAACATTTTTTGTTAATGTGTCTTTTTTTGGCAGGGATGGTGTTAATTTTCTTCATAGTAGCTCGTATGGGGCTGTGTTTTGGATTTGTGATGAAAATAGTGTTGATAACACACTGTTTCAGTTGTTTCTGAGCAGTGCTTACATGGTGTTTACCAAGGTCTTTTCTGTTTCTCTCACTGTACTGCCAGTGAGGAGGCTAGGGGTGCACGAGAAGCTGGGAGGGGGGCACAGGCAAACAGCTAACCCAAACTGACCAAAGGCACAACCTATACCATATGGCATCATGCTCAGCAATAAAAGCTGGGGGCTATTCACCAGGCCTGCTGTTGCATGGGGACTGGCTGGGTGTTGGCTTGTGGTGAACAACTGTTTTTTTTGGTATCCCTTTTTTTTTTTTTTTTTTGGTAAACTGTCTATATCAACCCACTAGTTTTCTACCTTTAGCCCTTCCAATTATCTTCTCCCATCCTGCTGGAAATGGGGAGTGATCAAGTGGCTGGGTGGTGCTTAGCTGTCTAGCAGTGTTAAACCACAACAGTGAAGATGAAAATCAGCTGAGGGTTGAGAATGTGAGCAATGTCTGATGGGGGGAGTCAGTCTTGCTCACAGTGCTGGTCTACTATTGGTTCTGGTTAAGGACCTGCATTGCATCTAACAGTTGCTCACCAAAGTAGAGGACACTCAGTGCCCAATCTACAGGCACCCTTGAAAAGTAGTTTTTTTTTTAAATTTTATTTTTAATTTACTCAACATGCAAGAGCAGCTAGTGAATTATGAGCACTACCTTTTCTCTGGCAGAGCTCAGCCATTCTTTTTACTGTTACCTCCATTCATTCATTGTATATCACCTTTCTCCCACAACCATGAGGCTGCTCTTAGGACTGCTTCCAGGATGTGCTTACCTCCCCCAGGTTCTTAAGTGTGTGCTACATGTTTTTAATGCATTTGGTCTAGAACTCATCTCCTAGCAATCAGCTGAGCTTGCAGTTTGCAACAGGAGTCTGTCTAGCCTGCACATCCGTGTAGCTGAATTGCAAGGTGTGGCCTTAGAATAGAGGCACAGTGGGAGACACAAACGGCGTAGAGCGTTTCTGAACACTGTCAAGAATCACAGAACTGTAGGGGTTGGAAGGGACCTCGAAAGATCATTGGGTCCAACCCCCCTGCCAAAGCAGGTTCCTCAGAGCAGGCTGCCCAGGTAGGCATCCAGACAGGCCTTGAATATCTCCAGAGAAGGAGACTCCACAATGTCCCCAGGCAGCCTGTTCCAATGCTCCGTCACCCTCACTGTGAAGACGTTTCTTTGCATGTCAGTGCGGAACTTCCTGTGTTCTAACTTGCATCCATTGCCCCTTGTCCTATCCCCAAAAACCACTGAGAAGAGGTTGGCTACATCCTTCTGTCCCCCACCTGATTAAGGAGACATTGGGGAGGCAAGGACAATATTAAGGAGGTATTGAGGAGGCAATGGGGAGGCAAGGACAATCCCCAGACAAGGACTGTATATCTCGAAACAAGACACTGGAACTCATGATAAGGAAGCGGCAGATGGACAGAGGAACAAATGTAAGGACTATAAATCTCGAAACTGGACATTGGAATTCATTATAAAGATACAACAAACAGGAGAATTAGCAACAACCAGCTCTTGCAATTAAGAAACATGCCAACTCAGCAGATTCCTGACCAAAGGTGAAAAGTACACTGTAAGGAAGACTCAGGGTCTTCCTCCCAAAGACCCCTGCCCATGTCCCAAACACCCTGCCTACAATTCTTGGGAGGCTCTACGCAGGTGCAAGGTGCTAAAAGGCTAATTAGCATGAGAAGCGAGGGAAGGCGGGGATAGGTAATGAATATGTATAGGTGCTTGTAGAATATTGATAGATTGATTGTATAAATTCAAGACTGCTTTCCGCTTTGGGTATGCACGATAGGTGGAGAGATCCCCCGTGCATCCAGTGCTGCAATAAAGAATATACCACTTAAAGGAATTTCGGCTTCAATCTTTGAATCACACCCCACAGATATTTATATACACTGAGGAGATCCCCTCTAAGTCTTCTCTTCTCCAGGCTGAACAGACACAGGTCTCTCAGCCTTTCCTCATAAGGAAGATGCTCCAGGCCCTGTATCATCTTTGTGGCCCTCCGCTGGACTCTTTCCAGGAGATTCCTGTCCTTCTTGTACCAGGGAGCCCAGAACTGGGTGCAGTACTCCAGGTGAGGCCTGACCGGGGCAGAATAGAGGGGGAAGATCACCTCCCTTGACCTGCTGGCCATGCTCCTTTTAATGCACACCAGGATCCCATTAGCCCTGTTGGCCACAAGGGCACAGTGCTGGCTCATGGTCAACCTGTCGTCCACCAGGACCCCCAGGTCCTTTTCCTCAGAGCTCCTCTCCAGCAGGAGTGAAATGTTTGTGTGTTCAGCTGCCTGTCAGGATAACAAACGACTGACTTGTACTGATCAGCAAAGGCACTATTGGTTCATGCGCCTCTGATTCGCAGTGCTGAGGGCCTGGTGCAGGGGACAGCAGGCAGCAGGTGTTCCAGCAGTGATTCCCAAGCCTATGCCTACCCCAAGACTGCTTGTAACTTGCAGCAACATGCACTGTGTGGATGTTTTGTGCAACATTGCCACAACTCTGTAATGGCTTTCATCACCCTGGACTATTTCCTCATTGACAGGTAAGAATGGGGGGCTGTTAGCTGCTGTGGAAGAGAGTGAAACGAGGTGCTGAAGTTAAGACTGTCATGGAAGGACTTGAACATGGCTATTTTGGGCCCTAGATAATCTATGGTGCTGCTGGTAGCAGAAGGCTAGAGCAGCCACTCTCCAGAACACCCTCCAAATTGAAAGAAAATGTATTATAGAAAATTTGTCCAAACTCTGGTTGTTCCTTACATGGCCAATTACACCTCAGAAGAGTAGGGGAGATGGGGGTGTAACATCTTGAGACCCCGGTGCTCTCTTACGAGTAGGAGTGCTGAGGGGCCAAGCTCTGCCACAAGCACCCTGTCCCTGGTCACATACTTCAGTGCTAATGCTGAGCGGGAACGATGGTTTCACAAGAAAGTTTTACAGAGCGCTTGAAACCTACTCATTGGATAAAGCATGTTATCCAAGTAGGCACGTTATCACCTGCCCCACGTCATTTTTTTCCCAAAACAGCCACCAGCACAGCTGTTGTCCTTCCACATTTAATTTATTTTTCGCCCCGAGGGGCTGGGGCTCCTCAGGCGCGGGCCCCCTGCCCGCCATCTCGAGGAGCCCGGCCCCCCCCCCCTCGCCTGTACCCACGGCAACCACCGCCTCCTTTCGCCACGCCGGCGGCCGCAGGCGGGCGGCTCCCCGAGGTCCCGCCCTGCGCGGCGGGGCGGAGCGGCTGGCGGCGGAGCGGGCGGCAGCGGCGGCAGTTTCTCCGTGGCGGCCCTCCTGCCTCGCCCGCCGCCATGTGCGAGCCCAGCAAGCAGGACATCGCCGCCATCTTCAAGCGGCTCCGCTCCGTGCCCACCAACAAGGTGAGGGCGGCGGGAGGACGGGGCGCCGGAGAGCGGGGGGGAGGCGGCGGCCGGGCTCCGCCGTGGCGGTGACACGTCGCACTGCCCGAGGGCGGGGCGGGGGGCGGGCGGGGAGCCCCGGGGCCTGGCGGGGCTCCGCTATCCGCCAGCCGGTTCCGGCGGGGCGGCTGGGGCTTGCCGTGGCCGCGGAGGCCTGCTCCTCGTCCCACCGAGACCCGACACACACATCTGTGTATATATATATATATACGCATACACGTATATATACGTATATAACATATACGCACCTCTGTGCTGCGCTAGGTGCGTGGTGGTAGCTCCCAGGGCACGTGAGGCTAGGGAAAACGATTCTCATTTAAATAAACGTGCAGTTTAACGTGTGGATTGTAGCGTGTTTAATCGGGCATTTGAGTAACTGTCTTGAAAATAGAATCATAGAATCATAGAATATCCTGAGTTGGAAGGGACCCTTAAGGATCATCAAGTCCAACTCTTGACACCACACAGGTCTACCCAAAAGTTCAGACCATGTGACTAAGCGCACAGTCCAATCTCTTCTTAAATTCAGTCAGGCTCGGTGCAGTGACCACTTCCCTGGGGAGCCTGTTCCAGTGTGCAACCACTCTCTCTGTGAAGAACTTCCTCCTGATGTCAAGCCTAAACTTCCCCTGCTTCAGCTTAACCCCGTTCCCGCGGGTCCTGTCGCTAGTGTTAATGGAGAAAAGGTCTCCTGCCTCTCGACACCCCCTTACGAGGAAGTTGTAGACTGCGATGAGGTCTCCCCTCAGCCTCCTCTTCTCCAGGCTGAACAGGCCCAGTGCCCTCAGCCGTTCCTCGTACGTCTTCCCCTCCAGGCCTTTCACCATCTTCGTAGCCCTCCTCTGGACACTCTCCAACAGTTTCATGTCCTTTTTATACTGTGGTGCCCAGAACTGCACACAGTACTCAAGGTGAGGCCGCACCAGCGCAGAGTAGAGCGGGACAATCACCTCCCTCGACCTACTAGCGATGCCGTGCTTAATGCACCCCAGGATACGGTTGGCCCTCCTGGCTGCCAGGGCACACTGCTGGCTCATATTGAACTTGCTGTCTACCACGACCCCCAGATCCCTCTCTTCAAGGCTGCTCTCCAGCGTCTCATCGCCCAGTCTGTACGTGCAGCCAGGGTTTCCCCGTCCCAGGTGCAGGACCCGGCACTTGCTCTTATTGAACTTCATGCGGTTGGCGATCGCCCAGCTCTCCAACCTATCCAGATCCCTCTGCAAGGCCTTTCCACCCTCATTCGAGTCCACAACTCCTCCAAGTTTGGTGTCATCGGCAAACTTGCTCAAAATACCTTCTATTCCTACATCCAGATTGTTTATAAAAATATTGAAAAGTACCGGCCCTAAAATGGAGCCTTGAGGGACCCCACTAGTGACCGCCCGCCAGCCTGACGCAGCGCCATTCACCATAACCCTTTGGGCCCTGCCCGTTAGCCAATTGCTCACCCATCGTATGATGTTTTTATTTAGCTGTATGCTGGACATTTTGTCCAGTAGGATCCTATGGGAAACCGTGTCAAAAGCCTTGCTGAAGTCCAAAAAAATCACATCAGCTGGTTTCCCTTGGTCCACCATACGGGTGATCTTATCATAAAAGGAAATCAGGTTAGTTAGGCAGGACCTACCCTTCACAAACCCATGCTGGCTGGGACCAATGACTGCTTTGTCCCCCAGGTGCGCCTCAATAAGTTCGAGAACCATCTTTTCCATGATTTTACCAGGCACTGACGTGAGACTGACAGGCCTGTAATTGCTAGGGTCTTCTTTCTGACCCTTCTTGAAAATCGGCACAGCGTACCTGTAATCCGTCCTCTGGTTTCCTTTGGTTAGCATGAGAAACAGCTTTTTGGAATTTTCATGTCTTTTTGTACGGGACCGCCTGACAAGGTTTAACGAATGCTTTACAGTTACTAAATGGGACGTATTTTGTACACATAAAAGACATTCATAGTTCTTAAGGTACCCAGTATTGTTTAAACGTTTGTAAAGCTTACCAGTTGTGATAACTTGTACCCTGAGACTGTAGTATATAGACTCTTTTAGTTTGCACAAATCTGTTCCTCTGAAACAGGTAGTTTTTGGTTCCCGCTCTCTGGTTCATTCTCTTCTCTTGTTGAAGATAGCATTCGTGTCTCTGCTTGGAGACCTAAATCAAGGTTCTGAACTGGGTGAAAACCAAGTAGGTGTGCTGTGGTGGTGGTTTATTAGTTCTGCAGTTTTGTTATTACAGTGCGAATTGTGGGGTTTGTGTGTCTGTTGGGAGGTGTTGTGGTCATGTTCCCTCCCTCCCCTCACCCCAGCAGAATATACTATAGTACATCTCACTCAAGTCATTTTAAGTTTACAGTGCTTCTAGTCCAGCTTCCAGTCCAGTTTCCTTCTGTTGGCAAATGCTTCTTCTCCCTCCCTTACACTGGTATTGCTGATGATGTGGCTGTGATGTGAGTTGGACCTACCTTTGATCTGAGCCAAAGCGCTTTTGTAGTGTTGGTTTCCAGTAGGATCAACAAGCCTGATTATTACTGCTGATGCAAGAAAAGAAAGCATATCAGGATACAGTGGTTGGAAAGGAACAGAGTGGCTGCTCGGATGAAGATTACCTTTGACCAGTCACGAAACTGCCATCTGAGTAGCAGTGGGTCCAGCATTCAGGCGGCTGTGTGCTGGTCTTGCACAACAGGGATAGCGAGCAGCAACACTGCGTGGTTAAAAGTGCCTTTGTAACCCTGACCTCAGTGGCAGGTGATTGCTGAGCCCCACCAGCTCTTTGGAAGTGTCAAAGCTAGCATTTCCAGAGGCTGTATATTACCATGTTGCCATATCCAACAACAACGTGTACTATGAACTTATTTACCAACAGGCATAAAGGATCTGTTAACTTCAACCTCTCATACAAGATGTTTGTTTTAATGACTTGCTGTGGACCTGTCTTTTTGTTAATTCTGGTAAAAACATCTTGATTGCAACTTTTACTCCTTTTTTTCTCCAAAGTGACTGTTCCTGAGTCTAGACTGTCCTGAAATGCTTGAATACTAAAAGAGCAAAAATAATACAGGTGTAGTTAAAAAGCAATAGATTATTTAGGTGTATCCTTCAAATTAGTTTTTATAAAGACTTTCGTATCTTAGTTGTACCTAACTCACTCCAATAAACACAGTTGCCATATTTAAAATGGAAATGATTTCATAGGTAGGCTCTGAAATCCCTTTTAATTTTGTTTTAATTTCTTGTTACAATTTATGTGGTGGAAAGCACTCTAAAATGAGGAAGCCAAGCAACATGAGTGTAAGTTAACTTATACTTATTTGTTTCAGTAAGTTAACTTGATAAAATGTTTCTATTTCTGTCACATAACAGGATGGAAATGATAGTTCTTATGTTACTTTCACAAAAAAATTAGTTGTCATTCTGAGTTGCATCACAATCCTTAAAGCTACAATTTTTGAATAATTTTCACGGGTGTCTGATAGATGGTTGATAAGGTCCTGTATATGTGAAGCCAGTGAGCTATGCTGCTTTGTGGCAGCTAGCTTCCAAGGTGATGCAATTAACTTTTAAGAAGCTGAAATTAAGAAGCACTTATATTTGTTCCAGGAAAGGCATGTTAATAACAGAACCTTTTTAACCATGGGATTTTTTTAACCACCTTAAGATTCTCTTTTCCCATTTCTGCTCTGAGGAATTTCAATGAAACTTACAGCTCTAAGTCTGCTCTTCTCTCTTGTGTTAGAAGCAGGACCAAGGCTGTTGTCTTGGCTTTGATCTCCAACAGAATCTTGTCTTATTTTGTTGTCTTCATCCTACTTTTGGCCTAGTAAGAAACTGTTTGAATACAGCCAATTTAAAGTGAAGATGAGGTAATTTATTTATTTATATTGGAATTAGCTCAAAGAATGGAGGGAATTGAGGAAAAGTGGATGAATTCTGACTACTTCAGGCTGTATGTTTTCCTGTGATGTGGCATACATGAAGAGTTACTCATTCTTTTTCCGTAACTTCCTGCATATCATTCTCCTATCTGTGCTTACTTTAGGGTATCTCTCCAGTCCCTCCTTCTATCCCTCATTCTGTGTGGATTTTCTCTTATTTCTTCTTTCTGCTGTATGTCAGTGGATGACCCTGTTTGCACAAACAGTACTGGGACACATACATGCTTTCCAGACTCCTTTCCTTCCAGTAGTGCACTGTTAAGCCTCCATAGAGAGAGAAAGAGTGGACTTGCATATGCAGAAACTGTAACCTCCATGCTTTCCATTTGTGTTCCAGGTTATTGGTCTAACTGAAGCCCAGACTTAAAAATGTTTTTATTGAGGATGAGTCAGTGTTGAATCTGATGGTGAACTTGTGCCTGATAAATGCGCACTACATAAGATACAGAGACCCACAGTAAAGCTAGGAGTTTAGCCTCAAAGTGCTCTTGGGCATCTACTTGAAATTAATTTGGTTGGTGATAGGTTAGCTGACTTGAATGTAAACTCAGGGCTTGTTTGATTGGGTATGTAGACACAAATCTCTAGTTGCATCAGTGTAGTTTCTAGCAAGGAGACTTGTTAGTGTTTCTGTTTGTTTGTTTTTTCTTCCCAGCCTGTCAAGGAAGTGAAAACATTTCTTAAAAGCTTTTGTATATCAGTAGAGTTGGAAGTGTGTACTTAAGTTGGAAGTGTTAAATGTGTACTTGAACTAGATTGATGTGGGTTCTCTGCCCTACTGTTTTTCAACCTGTGATCTACGTATAAACTGATGATGGACAGAAACCAGGAGTTTGTGTTGTCCTGTCTAGTTTGTGTGAAGGCATATGAGTTTGGGCAGGTTGTGCAACTACTCTTTATAAAATTAGGGTTATGTGAAGTTGTCATGTAATCTGAGCTGGAAAGATGACATCCATGCTATAAGGATGAATTCATTAAATTCTGATCACTACAAGGATGTTAGAATGACCTATAATACAACTTTAACAAGTGGTTATGCGTAAGTCACATTAATGATTTTTATTTTCTTAAAGGTATGTTTTGACTGCGGGTCAAAAAACCCTAGCTGGGCAAGCATAACATATGGAGTTTTTCTTTGTATCGATTGTTCAGGGACCCATCGATCCCTTGGTGTTCACTTAAGTTTCGTTCGGTAAGTAGTTTGTATACTTTTTACATTAAAAATGGTATTTTTTCAACTTCTGATGTTTTTTATTTTGTTGAGATGGTTGTTCAGAGAGGAAAATGCATTCTTAATTTCTGATTGAAAGTTTTTAATGTTTGTAAAAGCTTTGATTTATCTGATAGCTACTTGGGAATGAGGTAAATAGGTAGGCTTCGGTAGAATTTGTACCTTGCACACATTCCCATTACCTGCTTCTAGTATTTGTTAGTAGCGCATATTTGTTGGCAGATTTGTTTGTACATTGAAGATTATGGCTTCTATAGGTAGGTCAGTGATAAAAGGAAGACTAATGGAATTGTGGGCCCTCTCCAGAAGGAAACAGGAGACCTGATCACCCAGGATATAGAGAAGGCAGAGGTACTTCATGACTTTTTTGCCTCAGTCTTCTCTGGCAAGAGCTCCAACCATATAGCCCAAGCCCCAGAAGAAAAGGCAGGGACTGGGATAATGAAAAACCACCCATTGTAGGAGAAGATCAGGTTCAAGACCAGCTAAGGAAGCTGAAGGTGCACAAGTCCATGGGACCTGCTGAGGTACGTCCACGGGTCCTGAGGGAATTGGCAGATGTAGTTGGTAAGCCACAGTCCATCATATTTGAGAAGTCGTGGCAGTCCAGTGAACTGGAAGAGGGGAAATAAAACCCACATTTTTAAAAAGGGGAAAAAAGGAAGAGCTAATGAACTACAGGCCAGTAAGTCTCACCTCTGTGCCTGGCAAGATCATGGAGCAGATCTCCCCGGAAACTATGCAAAGGCACCTGGAAAAGAATGAGGTCATAGACTCATACGATCTGAAGAGAAACCAGAGTGATTGGTGACAGCCAACACAGCTTCACTAAGGGCCAATTGTGCCTGACAAATGTGGTGGCCTTCTCTGATGGCGTTACAGCATTGGATAGGGGAAGAATAACTGAAAAATAACTTTTCCAGTCAAGACTGAGGCAAATACTACTTTATTATCTTCAGCAGTGCTACAGTATATTGATCATAATGATAATCTGACAGCCTAGCAAGCCAGTTTAGAGACCTAAATTTTTTTTTTTTTTTTTTTTTTTGCCTACTGTGCTTCTTGAAGTAGTTCAGTACTAGCACTGTGGTGGCAACATAATGGGGTAGGAAGTGAGGGGTTTTGTGTAAAGGACTATACTCCCCTTTGGTGGCAGCACTTGGATAGGCTCAGTCAGTTGGTGCAGTTTTAATGAGCTTCTCGTATTTCAGGTGAGTAACCCAATTTATGTCCTATAGGTGTATTTGTCCTATTAAATAGAACCTTCCATTTCATATATGTAACTGCTGGAAGTGTGTGAGAGCAATGCATCTGAGAATGGACTGCAGATAAAAGCAGCTGTTTTTTATCAACTAAAATCTGTATTTTTCCTCTGTTGCTTTGTCACTGTATAAAAGAATGTTACAAAGGGGTCTTTCAAGAATGCATTCCTGATGATCACAGTATTATGACTGTTAGAATTCTCTTCATATTCAATGCTCCCTCTACTACCCCCAGATAATTTGGGAAATAAACTCTTTACACAAACAAGGTAGATTTTAAATGTCTGTGAAGATAACATTAAAAATGTTTCCTTCTCTTCAGATCTACAGAACTGGATTCCAATTGGTCTTGGTTTCAACTGAGATGCATGCAAGTGGGAGGAAATGCAAATGCTGTATGTACTCTTGAGTGTTTGCCGTGAACATTGAAGCTTGTTAGGCTTGGAAGCTATTGTCTTTCCTTATTGGCTCACATCTCAATCTAGAATTTGTTTATTTCTCCAGTCCATTTCTCTACTTTTTCTTGTTTTTAAGAATTCTTTTGAGTGCTGATTTCACCATACTTCTTGCAACTTTTTCATGTAGGTATAGTCTGCAAAAGTTTTTTTTCTTAGAAGTCATTAGTAAAAATCACTGAAAAGACTAGACCAGATTCCTTGAAAATGCATCTAATTTAACAGCAAAACATTGATAACTGATGAAAGATGGCCTTCCATCTGCTTGTAAACCTAGTTAACAAGTGTTCTCCTGTGACCTTATTTCTGTATGTAGTTCATGAACATGTCTTGCCAAAGGTCATGTCACTGCTGAAGTCAAGATATGACTTAGGCTTTAGGTACGGTTAAAGTCAAGATAAGATGTGCTACACTGTCAGAGAGAGGAAATGGCAATGTTTTGGCTAATTGATATAATCTGTTACTTTTGATTTAATTCTTTTACATACTTAAAAATAAGTTTGTTTCATAATATTTTCTTTTAAACTAAGGTTTTGTGTTGACTGCTGTATTGTCCTCAATTTCCTTTTAAAAAGACAATACTTTCTTCAGTCAGCTCCTCTGGAATCTTACCTCTTTTCCCATATTTTTTTTTCAAAGATCAACCACTGGTAGTTGAGATTGGACACAGAGTAGTACAGCTGAGGGAAGCAAACATGTAACTTTCATAAGAAACTTCTACTTTTCTTCCAGTGCCCTGGAAACTTACCCCTTATCTTTCTTCATTTGTGTTTAGTCCTTAAACGTTGTTTAAGAAACTGTAAGTCTTGAGCTTCTTTGTGTTCCCTCTCAACCAAGCTTTAATTCCATTTACAATTTCTTAATTTGCTTTCTTAATATGCTTTCCTTGAGTCTTGTCATTGTAATATTCTCCTAAATCTTACCATCTCTGAGTTTAATATTTAATGTTTTAAATATTTCAGTATTAGAATATTTTAAATATTTCCATACAAAGAACGATGAATTGAGCAAGGATCATTATTATTTATCTTCCCCTTCTGCATTTTCCAGTCAAACCATCTTCTTTGAATTAGGCATTCAGCATGTCACTGTCTCTGGTTTGCAGATCTGAGTGGTTGTGTAACTTCAGAACTAAAGTGGTGTTTTTACCCTATTTTTTCTGCCTATACTTTCTAAGTTGTATCTTTCTGTATACCGCAGTTACATGAATTTACTCATCAAGTTACTCTTACGCCTCTTAATAGATAAAGATCATAGTTTTAACTAATCAGAAGAGGTAGATTCTGCATGAAAAATACTTTCCTTTTTTAGCCGTAGATTTAAAGGCAATTGGTAGGAAGGAAGTGCAAGTTTTGAAAAGTACTTCAGATAATTTCAGAAAGCATATTCACGGAAGATTAACAGTAAACATTTATTATTTCATTTTATGGATTTTTGTCTTTCTGCTTGGATGTCACTGTTTCCTATCATGCATTGTACCAATAGGTCTAATATACCCACATCTCTTACACCTGAAATTCATAATGACCTCTTTTGGATTACCTAGCAGGATAAATGGCTTAAACTTCAAAGACCATCTTAGTAAACTGCTTCAACATTTAAAAAGTAAAAGCAACATCTTCTCTCTAATTGCATTAAAAAACAATTTCCTTTTTGTTCCAATAAAATCATGAATTCCATTTTTTACCAACTACTGCTTAGAAATACTCTCAGATTAACATTTAGTATTTCTATTCTGTAATTTCCTGGTGATACTGAATCTTGAATCAGTTATGAGCTTTATAGCTGTGTATGAAATTGCTAGAAAATTTGGTGATGTGAGTTCCTTTTGCTTTCAGAATAAACACTTAAAATGATTAGAATTAGGGTTTACAAAGAAAAGCTCTGAATGTCAGCTCCATAGGGGGTGTGTGTGTATATATATATATATATATATACACACTTAAATGCAAATATGCACAGTCCTTTTGACACTTGTTATGTTTATAACTGTTTTTGTTGTAATTACAGAAATGTATGGTGGCTTAACTTTTATATGAAGTTTGGTACTTATATATTAGATTTACATTTGAGGTTACAGACTTCAATTGTCTTGGTTTGCTGACCCTATCGGAAACCTGTTTACTATGTTTTACTGTAATAGTCTATTAAGTTCTTCTGTGCAAGAACATGTGACATCATTTGCTAGTTAATTCTAGGTACTAAAAAAATGCCCAGCTTTTCCATTTCTTAATCTTTCAAACAAAGTTTTTATTTGTATGTGAATACACACATATAAATAGTGTGTGTATGTGAATATATATATATATATATATATATATGTAGGTACATACATGTATATGTGGATATACACTTTAAGGAAGACCATTTTTTATATAGCCATTTTGATCAAGCATACATTGTTCTTTCTAGCAAGCTCGAGATGAAAGCAAGTGATACTTTTTAGAATATCAGAAATGTCCTTTGAAGCACAGGTGTTGGCAGTTAGTTATCTCTTCCTTTCCTTGTTACATTCAAAACTACGAATCTTTGTATATGATTGGAAGCTTGTATCTCTATGTGCTTTTGAAACATACCACTAATCTATTTTTTTTTTTAATTTATTGTTGTTGTTTTACATGTACATATGTTGCCATAATGGAGTTTTCTTCTTATTTTGGAAATTTACACAGACTTCATAATTTAAAATATTTAGATACAGGAGGAGAGTAGTTTGCTGCATTGCAATATATTTTTATGTTAAGTGGTATTGATTTTAAATTTGTTTTTCATTGCATCTTGTGTTCTTCATAGTCTGCTTTTTTCCATCAACACGGATGCACAACAAGTGATACCAATGCAAAGTATAACAGTCGTGCTGCTCAACTTTACAAAGAGAAAATTAAATCTCTTGCAACGCAAGCAACAAGAAAGCATGGTACTGATGTGAGTAATGTGTGTCTTATGCAATTTAGATTTTTCAAAAACTTTCTGTTCTTTACCATCCAGAGCAATTTTAAGCTTCTAGTTAATGTGAAAGATTATCTGCCTATTGGAGGTACTGGTACACGTTGCAGTGAGGTTACAAGCTGTGGAGTAAACTATTTGCCACTTTGTTGTTGTTTTTTGAAAAAAATTATTGAGGGTAGAGCTGAACCTCATATTTTGGGTTACTCGAAACACCATTTGCAGGATTTACAATAACTTACAGGAATTCTAGGCAGAAACTTCAGGTATTCTTCAAAAAGGAAACTACTTTGTTTCTCAAACGTGCTGAAAAATTGTTTGTGCTACTGTATAATAACAAAAACACCAGCACTTCTCTGTGAATTATATATTGTATTTATTTTTGCTTTTCTGTAACTGAATTATTCCTGAGAAGTACATCATATAAAAACATAAAATTGCCAATAGCGTTAACTACAAAATAGTTGAGATTTAAGTGGGTTTTAATTTGAACAGATAAATGTTTTTTTTCCTTTTTTCTACAAAAAATATATTTGAAAAATTAGCAAGTTTTATATATACATACATACATACATATATATGTCCTGAACATGCTGTTCTGTTAGAAATGCAGGCATGCTGTCAAAGCTTTGAAGTTAGGTTGCTGACAGGAAGAAGTTGTTAGCGAAGTACACATTATTTAGGTCTGCTGAGGTGTTAAGTAAGTTTGACAATGGCTCTCTTCTATATATGCAGAATGAATGTCTTGATAGTTTAATTCAATGTGTTTAAGTCCATGGCTAATTCATTTGAAGTTGATCAAATGAGTGAGAATTTTAAATAAATTAATTAAATGTCTTGCTTTTCTTTCTTCTAATCTGTTCATCAAATACTATGAAATTTAATTATTATAATTTTGTATGTCAGATATAGTTAATATGGTTCTCATCACTAACTTAAGAGAATATTTCTTTTTACTTACTAGACAGCTTTAGATGTAAAACAAGTTCAAGTAAAGCTCTAGTGATATTAAATGTTGATAATATTACTGCAGCAGAGCTTATACTGAGTATTTTGTTAGGAAGAAAATGGGTAATTTGAGGGAAGACATCACGAGACATTGAATCTAAAAAGGAATATTTTTAACTTGGGGGGGAAAAAAAAGCTTTAAGGTAAGTGCATTTTTTAGGATGCATTCATGCAGTTATCCGGTAAAATTAATAATCTCCCTCTCTTCCTTCTTTCCTTTCTACCTCTACCAAAATACTTCTAGCTGTGGACAGATGGATGTGGAATGCCACCTGTGTCACCGGAGCACAAAGAGGAAGACTTTTTTGCATCCCATGTTTCTCCTAAGGTATAGATTGCCTGTATTTAATTCTTGTTTGCTTTCTGACTTCTTAAGAGAGCTGTGTGCTCTGTGATTAATTTTAAACTCTGTAAGAAAATCTAACAGAGAAAGGATAAGTCAGTGAGTTAACGTTTACCTGCTTTTCCTTCTGTGGGTCTCAAAATTCTTCCTGGATGTGAACCACTTTCTAAGATGATAATTTAGAATGACCCAAATAGTAGGTAAATGTGAAATGAAGCTGTGTTTTTCTTAGGCATGCAATTCTTGACTCATGATTCCTGTCTTGGGAATGCCCTAATCTAAACTTAATATGTGATAACTGTTTTTTTGATGAATAAAGTTTAATGGAAAAAAATGCTATTTGTTAAGCAGATGCTTTTTTTCTTCCTCCAGAATTTCTCCGTCCTCTTTGAAAAAGTTAAAATAACTTTCTGAAAGCTACTGCTAGTGGCGTTCCCCAGGGCTCAGTGCTGGGGCCGGTCCTCTTTAATATCTTCATCAATGATCTGGACGAGGGCATTGAGTGCCCCCTCAGTAAGTTTGCAGATGACACCAAGCTAGGCGCATGTGTCGATCTGCTTGAGGGTAGGAAGGCTCTGCAGGAGGATCTGGATAGGCTGCACCGATGCGCTGAGGTCAACTGCATGAAGTTCAACAAGGCTAAGTGCCAGGTCCTGCACCTGGGGCGCAATAACCCCAAGCAGAGCTACAGGCTGGGAGATGAGTGGTTGGAGAGCTGCCAGGCAGAGAAGGACCTGGGAGTGATGGTGGACAGTCAGCTGAATATGAGCCAGCAGTGTGCTCAGGTGGCCAAGAAGGCCAACGGCATCCTGGCTTGTATCAGAACCAGTATGACCAGCAGGGCTAGGGAGGTGATTGTCCCCCTGTACTCGGCTCTGGTGAGGCCGCACCTCGAGTACTGTGTTCAGTTTTGGGCCCCTCGCTACAAGAAGGACATCGAGGTGCTTGAGCAGGTCCAGAGAAGGGTGACGAAGCTGGTGAGGGGCCTGGAGAACAAGTCCTACAAGGAGCGGCTGAAGGAGCTGGGCTTGTTCAGCCTGGAGAAGAGGAGGCTCAGGGGCGACCTTATTGCTCTCTACAGATACCTTAAAGGAGGCTGAAGAGAGGTGGGGTTGGCCTGTTCTCCCATGTGCCTGGTGACAGGATGAGGGGGAATGGGTTAAAGTTGTGCCAGGGGAGTTTTCGGTTAGATGTTAGGAAGAACTTCTTTACCAAAAGGGTTGTTAGACATTGGAACAGGCTGCCCAGGGAAGTGGTGGAGTCACCATCCCTGGAAGTCTTTAAAAGACGTTTAGATGTAGAGTTTAGTGGGGACTGTTTGTGTTAGCTGTGAGGTTGGACTCGATGATATTGAGGTCTCTTCCAACCTAGAAATTCTGTGATTCTGTGACCTCTGCTCTGCTTTCTCAGTGCATTATAGTGACAGATGCTGTGTTTATTTCAGAGAACAGTGTTTCAGAGACTCTCTTGTGTCTTAGATTAAAAAATACCATTAAAAACAACTTCAGTAGTTGTGATCTTAAACTTGGAATAATTAAGTTACTGCTGTGCCTAGTATTCCTAAATATTTCAACAATATTAAGTGTTCTGACATGATTGCTTTCTAGTATAGTTGCAATCAGTGAATACCTACATCTAAGTATCATCATGAGGCATATTTTGGGATAGAGAAGGATGCAAAGAACTTGGCATATCATATTAGGCCTTGTGAATATTCTTCAACACTTTGTAAACATTCATTGCATTCATTCCCCAGTCATGATGTTGTGGTGATCCATGTATATCATCATCAGTAATAAAAACCTATGCAAGCTCATATCTGTGACCTGGTAAGGAACACAGTAAAAATAGCAGGTTTTTAATTGACTTTCTAATATATCTAGGGTGCTTAAGTATGGGAAAAGCTGTAATTTAAAGGAAAAAACTCCCCCCTCCTTTAGTTATTCAATTGTGGCATTTTAAAATAATAACTTTTTTTGTTGTTTTTGTAATGTTTCAAAAACATATTTTAAAGGAAATTTCAGCCTTTTATCAGTTTGTTTTATTTTAGGAAATTCTACTATGGTCAATATTTGAATGTCTTATAAAAATGAATTTTGACATCTTTGAACCAGGGAAAGAATATTTATGTTTTACAGTTTGGGAAGAATGCTGTATTACTCAGAAATGCTTGTTGCAAAGAAAAAAATAAATTAGTTTTTGTGAGTTGTAGTCTAGTATTTTCATCAGATGATCATCTGTTCTGACAGTAGAAAAGTAAACAGTATTTGTTTGCAAAAGGCAATATGGAAGAACACTTGAAAGTGAGTTGGAAAACCATAAACTGCAGTAAGCTAGAGAGAAAGAGAGTTAAGCAGAGAAGCGTAAATATTTTTAGGCTGAAGTATGAGAAGTAGGAACTTGTTACAAAACCCCTTGAGAAAATTTATCAATATATAATATATATAATACATATTATATATGATTTACATTATATACAATAATATGTAATATCTATATATTATATATAAAATTTATCAATATATAATATATGTAATATGTAATATATATTCTGTTATATATAAACAATATATATATAATAATATAATGTAAATTTTCAAAGCAGAATTTTTGGATAGCTGCAAAAGTAGGGGATCAGAGACAAGCAGTCTGTGTGCTTCAGGGCAAGAGATTCTTTAGTATGGTTATGAAATATCGGGAGTTTATGAGATTGAGGTTCTAAGGAAGAGAAGCATGGACTGGCAGTGCATGCTGCCAGTGCATGCAGGCACAGCATAGGTGGAAAAGCTAATACTAAGTGCGTATTATTGTGAGCAGGTCACAGACTTGCCTGGTGAGGAGGATGTGTTTGAGGGTTATTTCTGAGAGAGAAATAAATACAGGTGCTCAGCAATGCTTTTTAATAAAGGTAGACATTTCCTGTAACAGGTTTTAAACATAGAAGTTGTAGTCATGGGAATCCAATTTTAGCTAATTAGTGGTCTTTGAGCACAGTGCTCGTATTTATTAGATGTATTCTATGTTGTGTGCACTTTTGATCTTTGTGGGTTTTTTTTTTTTCAATGCAAAGAATACTGAATGGGTACTATCAGAGCCACAGCCAGTTTCTCTACAGCAGAAAGCTTCAGAAAATGTTCCAGAATGCTATGAAGGTATGACTGATTCTTTGTTAACAATAAGCTACATTTTCTGATAGTCTCTTTGTTTAGACTCTCTTTACCTTACTTAATAATTAAAATAACCTTATGCTAATAACTTAAGTATTTGGGGGAGGAAGGAGTTTCTAGAAGATTTTAAGTCTAGAAGTTTCTAGACTGTGTGGGACTACATATTCCTTTAATAATGTTTAATATGAATCCAAATTGAAATCTGATTCAGAAGATTTCAGATGAATCTTTGGGTGCATGCTGCTCTGTTAGTAACGGGAAAAGCTGTGACAGAAATAGCACATTGTGGTATCTGTATTGAACAGTATCCTGAGGACAGTGAGTTGTGTTTTGGTATTTTAATTTAGATATTTTAAGCATTCAAATGAGCCTTCTGGTATTCTTAACTTTGTTACTCGTCATCCTTTCAGGTGGACCGGAACATGGACCAAGTGTTGATTACCTTAGTACATCACCAAAAGCTGCTTTAGGTAATGAGTGTAAGCAGAAGATAGCAGCCAGTATAGTATACTTCTATATTCATACTTACTAAGAATGTATGACTGGGAAGAGATGTGAAATTCTTAGTTTAATAGCAGTGTGCATGAGTTACTTTTATACATCTTAATTTGTATTACAACTTCTTTTCTTAAACAGTATCCATCAGTTTTAGTCAATTGCATTCTGGTTTTATCTATCTTGTCCTAGCTGACTTGATGAATTTAAATGTTACAGGTATCAGACCTGAAATAGGTGACCAGTAATGCTTTACACCTTCCATTATGCTGCTTCAGGTTGTGCATCTAATAGAGCGTTGTGCTGTGATTACTCTGGGGTGTCCTCATTGCAGCTTTTCAATACTTAAAGAGGGCTTATAAAAAAAGATGGAGAGCAACTTTTTACTTGGTCAGATAATGGTAGAGCAACATGGAATGGTTTTAAACTAAAAAGGTGGAGATTTACATTAGATATTGGAAGAAATTCTTTATCATGAGGATGGTGAGGCACTGAAACAGGTTGCTTAGAGAAGCTGGGCATACCCCATCCATGGAGGTGTTTGAGGCCAGGCTGGATGGAGCCTTTGTCAACCTGGTCTGGTGGGAGGTGTCCCTGCCCATGGCAGTGAGGTTGGAATTAGGTGATCTTTAAGGTGCCTTCCAACCTAAACCATTCTGTGATGAATGGCTTGCTATTTAAGCTAAGGAAGCACATTAGGTCCCTATTTAGATAGATTTTGCTTCCTTTTCAGAAAACTAAACATAAAAATTTAGTTTACAAATCTTGTATTTGTAATACAAAATCTTCGATGTCCAGAATTTTAATTTACTTAACAGTGAGGCGTGTGTCATATTGCTTCATCACTGTTTTTTTTTATTCACTGTTTAGTTTGTTTTTTATGAGATGAAGGCAAGTGTATTGAAAAAGTGTCATTAAAAATACCAAGTTTAGGAGTTCTGTCAGATTTCATAATGAGCAGAATGTAGGTTCATTTACTGTGTTTCAGTATTTAATACAAAGCATTAAGGCTGGAACTTTCACACTTTGTGTGTTTATGATGATATAGGTATGTTTTATCTGTATCATTGCTTATTTTAAACATAACCAATATCTTTCTATCCAGAAAATAATTTATCCTGGAAGTGGTATGGGAACAAGTGGACCTCTAGTGTGATTTATAATGGCAAGTTTGTATACCAGTTGGTATCCACAACTGGAAACTGAGCCATAATTTTATTCCTATTAAGAATTGGCAAGAGGTACCTTACCCTCAGGTCTTTTTCCTACCTTTTCTTAGTGATATTCATCACTCTGTTCTATGTAACTCTGTTTAGTTTTTTAACCTCTTCATGTAGAAAATGTAATACTTAAGGCATTAGAAACAACAAAAAAAAAATAGAAAAACTGTTTTGAGGCTGAAATTATGGAAATCCACTTTTGCAATTCTGAAATTAATGAAATTGTATGTCAAGTAATGTATGTTTAATCATTGCAGAGAATACCACCTTCATAAAAAAGAAGCCAAATCAAGTTAAGAAGGGGGTAAGTCTATATAGTTAATGCATATTTTTCTCTGTATTATAAATCTCTGGAAATATGTAGATTTTAATTTGGAAATGTATTGTGTATGTTAATACTAAATAGTACACATATCAATAACAATAGATGAAAATAAAAAGCAATAGAAAATCTGTTCTATATCAAACAGCCAATGATCTGTTTCAAAATGGATTATTGTTAAGATGAATTTGTCTAATAAATTGCTATTACTCTGTAGTAGAGTACTAAAGATTAATTGGTTGTTCTCTGACCTCAGATAAATTCTAAGTGAGTTTACATGTATACAGCACACTGAACTGTCTAGACTTCCACATGTATATCTGAGCATTTTTTTTGGTGCTGTCTGGACCTGAATAGCAGATTTGGTTAGATTGAACAGTATTATTCCTTGCTCTCACTAGAGGGCCCTAATATGCAAGAGGAACTTCATTTTTATTCTAAATGGCTTATGCAGATATGTTCCCTTACAGTACGAACATAACTGAGTTCACAGGTGCATGTACAGTTAGTGAACTGTAGTGTCAGAGACTAAAACTGTACAACTCTGTGTGCATAGACCAGAGCTCTTACATGAAGCCACTAAAGTGCTAACAGATTAAGATAAAAATATTGTGAAAATTCATATTGCTGCAGTGTTGCAGATGACAAATTAAATGCATGGGAGACAGAGAACAGCAGTCTGAGGGCTTTGCCACATCTGAACCTCCATCATTGTGTTGATTCATATTTGTAGTATTCAGTTGTTTTTGTTTTTTTTTTTTAATAATCAATAATCAGAATGAAAGAATATGTTTTCCTGTACTGAAGTAATGAGCTAGAAGTAGAATTGTTTTAAAAGAACCAGCACAAAACTGTAACCTCTCAGATGACATATTTATCTAAAAATGTTTACTGTGCGTTGTCACTTGCAAAAGCTAATCATTGTGTGTTGTGAGTTTTGCATAAATGTATGTAAAAAATTTGTATATTGCTGTACTACCTTAAATCATTAAATACTTGTGTACACATTTATTAAAAATATGAATAAATCCTTAATAGTAAGATAAGAGACTAGCACTGGCCGGTGAGAACTAATATAATAAATAAGAAAAAAAAAATTGTTGCCACTTCTAAGTATAAATTGTGATTTAAGTGAATGAGAAACAAATGGTTCAGCTGCCACAAATTTGATTATGTTACTATACAACATAATCATTATTAAAGTTGTGCTGTATACTCCCTAACGGTATGTAGTGTTTGCTATTGCTTTCAAAGTTGACTCTTAAATCATTTGAGGTGATTGACTCAGTTATAATGTTGGGACTTCTATTTTTTGTTTTCTAATAAATCAAGCTTGGAGCCAAAAAAGGTGGTTTGGGGGCACAAAAAGTCAGCAGTCAAAGCTTTAATGAGATTGAAAAACAAGCACAAGCTGTAGATAAAATGAAGGAACAACAGGATCTTCATAGCAGTAAGCAAACTGGGAAGGAAGAGCCACTGTAAGTATGAATTGTATGTACAACAGTAAACTGTGATGCCTAATTTCATGTTAATGAAGTAATTGTCAACATTTTAAATGAAATGTTACCATAGACTAGTTAATGCAAATAAAACTTCAATTCTTGCTTAATAATCTTGCTTAATAAAAATCCCCAAACGTGGATGAGGTGAGCCGAAAAGTAATCGCTCTATTTCTGCCCTCCCTCCTCCCTGTTAGGTATATGTTTCTACAGTTGCTCTTTTACTGTAGAAATAACCCATTCCTGTCTTTAAAAATAACCTTAATGTTATTTCTATTTAAAGCAGAAAATAAAGAGTCATTCCACTGATACATATGAATAATGTAAAATAAATGATAAAATATGCTAAGATTAATACCACAGAAGGTTTTTCTTCTTTAACTTTTCCAGTCTTTCTAAGAGCTTAGGAAACATGCAAGTACTCGGTTTTATTAATATATGTTGGGTAAGAGTTTCACTGCTGAAAGCAGATGGTAGTTTAAGTATGACTAGAAATGTCTGCTGAAGTTTCAACTCTTTTATACTGGAGCCGCTTTCACCCTTTGAATGTTTTTGTTGGTGTCCTCAAATCTGTTAGTCCATTCTCAATAAATACTCAGGGTATGGTTCTTTGTTTTCGTCATTATATTTCTCTGCTACATGTTTTTGGTTTCTTGCGTTATCATAGTTGTCATCAAAATTAGATCATTAAAGAGTTGGTTATGTACTCTTTTACTGTTGTAAATTTTATCATCCTCTCTTAAGTGCTAACATGTATATTTTTTTATAACCTATTAAAGACATTTCTGAATTTAAATGTAATTATAGAATTACAGGATCACTTGGAACTCATGGTACCAAGTTTTTAGGCCTGCTACTTTTGACCACGTTACGTGTCCTCTGCAGAAACGGATGTTCATCAGAAGTATTAAATGCAAAGAGATCGGTAATTTTTCGGAGTACTTTTACCACAGAAATTGCATTTCTCACCGATTGCCAAACCTGAACATGCTGCTAAATTAAAAAAAAAAAAAAAAAAAGTATCGTTCATGAGTTATGATTTTTCATAAGTTTTCATCAGTTAAGAGATTTTTGATATTCATAAAACAGATTTCATAAAACAGGCTGCAAATCATTTTACTTAAAGTGCTGGGTAAATTTCCTTCAGTAGCAGCTTTAAGCTGAGCTTTAGAAAACATTTTCAGCTTTCTCTATGAGTTGGTCTTAAACTGTAATAATTGGTTAAAATCTTCTTTGGAAATGTTCTGTGGTTTGAAGATACATTTTTCTGTTTTTTTTTTTCTGTTTTTTTTTTTAATTTATTTCAAAAAACATTCAGTGGATGACTGACTTTTATTGTAAGCATCTGAATGTAAGACAATGAACTTTTGGTTCCCAAGTTCTAAGTTCTAGAACCCAAGTTCTAGGTCCCTCTAAACACACCAATTAGAGGATATCCAATCATCACATGATTGAGATCACTCTCCTTTTTGAAACGCCTCTTCAGTGGAGAAGCAATGTCCCACTCCTTACAGGAGGATGGTACCTACATCACTATCCGTTAAGGAAGATGACCAAATGCTGTGCCCTTCTTGTCCTAACTGGTTCAGAAACACACCCCTGCCTTGCAGGAGAGTGCACTAACCATCAGGGTGTGAACTTTGGTAGGGGCATCTTGTACTCTTGTTTAAAGTTAAGTATGGATGGGGCCAGAAGAAGAGCAAGCCAGGAGAAGCCTGTGTTGGTAATCAAATGGTTAGGACACACACTAGAAGAAAATACTCTTTAGTCCAAAACTTTATTTTCATTCCTGCTTCTGTACAAAATGGATGGAAAGTTACAAGGGAAATGTCTTGTTTTCAGTCTTATGTACTTCCCATCTACTGAAGAGCATAAGGTCTACAAGCAGCATCTAAATCTTGTTTACCATGATTCTAATAATGTTAATTTGCACTTTTTACCAGCCACAGTCTGTGAATTAAATATTGCCATATTCCTTGTTAAAATTACTATTTGTATCCCTTTTAACCTACCAAATTAAATTTTAAGCAGTGTTTCTACAATTCTGTAATCAGGATTAAAAATCTCTGTGTCTCCTACATTGGTACTGCTGGAAAATAATAATAAAGATATTGTCTGAGATATAGGAAGGCCTATGGCATCTCTGAGCATTTACTATATTTGAATTAGGAGGATGTTTCAGGTGACAGAATGTGTTGCTAGCTGTGCAGAAAATAGTAAGTTGTGAATGCTTCAAAGGTTTTATAATACAGATTGTCATATCAAATATTTGATTTTGTAGGTACAAAGATTCTCTTCGCCTCTTCTGAGACACTTTTTCTGGGACAGAGGGGAGCAGTATTGATTAAAAGAAAGCATAGTCTACTCCTAGTAAATGTCACTCAAGTATACGTAACACATGATAAAACCATTAGGAGTAGGGGTAGAGATGTAGCAAGGCCAAGGAGTGAATTAGAGGAACACATCACTAGTATTGTATTATGGATGACACAGTATTGTAGTATATCAGAACTGGGTAATTTTGATGATCGTTTGGTAGCACATAAACTATGACAATGGGGGGAAAAAAAACACAAAACTTTTAGGTTGACTTAATAGCGATGCAAAACCATGTCTTGAACTGTAATAGTACGTTTTATTTTGAAAAACGAAAACAAAGCAAGCAAAAACAAACAATGTGCTCCTATTAATAATGAATATTTTCAGTAAACATAGAAAACAAAATACAGTGCTACATTAGATACTAATTTTCTACTAATATGTTTTGTTCTAGTGTATCATCTTTACGATTGGCCTACAGAGATCTAGATATTAAAACAAAAGAAAAAAAGTTAAATCTATCTGGTAGGAAGAAAAATGAATTTGAGAGGCTTGGCATGGGATTTGGCAGCAACAGAAGGTATGTGAAGTTCTATAAACTATTTAAGATGCTCTTTGGTTTTATGCAGATATTCTTGATTTTGATTGGGAATTGAAAAAGTATACGGAAGTGTGAAGTGTTATGGAAACTTAATCATCAAAGATTCAAGTATTTGTTAGGGAAGAGGACAGGAGTGCTTCTGATAGATTTCAGTTTTAACCTGCCAGACAGGTACTAACTTAGATCGCAGATATATGTAGATTTTTTGCTACTGTTAGCTGACTATGAAAAAGGTAGCTGGAATGTTTTTAATGAACAGTACAGACGGAAGTGTAGCTTATCTACTACAAGCCAAAACTCTGAAAAATCACATGATTGTTTAACTGTTGTTGGGAATAGTCTGTGTGTTCAGAAGTCTTGTCACTGCTTCAGAGAGCTATAGCTGAGCTTTCCAGGGTTTTTTCTTTTGTTTAAAATTCCACTCTTTCTTAGATGTTTTCATTTAATAAAAAAAAAAAAAAAAAAAAAAAGCTTTTAAAACACTGTAAGAGCTTTGGCATTGTCATCAGGCTTCAGAAACTAGGTTAGGCCTTTCATTTTTATTTTTTTAGGGTGTGGACTTTGTCATCTCTTTACATACTTATTTTCTTCCTGTCCCCAGTGGTATTTCTCACTCAGTCATCTCAGATATGCAGACAATAGAACAGGAAACACCAACAATTGCAAAAACGAAGAAAAAGTACGCTGATGAGGTAGAAGACTCTTATATATCTTCGTCTAGTTCAAGGTAATACATCAGCTTTCTGTTTTGGGTGAGACAGAAGTATATGCAAGTTATGTATTCAAATCTGTGCAATATATTTGAAACAGGATAAAACCAGAAGGCAATTCCACAGGTCTACATACATATTATATTTTCAGGTTACATCTGAATCAGGAAAGTTGTGAAATAGTTGATGTTATTCTATGATTATCTCAATGACATGAATGTATTTAGAATCACAGAATCATAAAATGGCTTGGGTTGGAAGGGACCTTAAAGACCAGCTGGTTCCAAGGCCCCTGCCATGAGCAGGGGCACCATCCACCACACCAGGTTGCTCAAAGCCCCATCCAACCTGGCTTTGAACACCTCCAAGGATGGGGCATCCACAGCTTCTCTGGGCAACCTGCTCCAGTGCTTCACCACCTTCTGAGTGAAGAATTTCTTCGCAATATCTAATCTAAATCTACTCTCCTTTAGTTTAAAGTCATTACCTCTTGTCCTGTCAGAACACTGCCTGATAAGGAGTCCCTCCACTTCTTTCCTGTTGGCCCCCTTTAAATACTGGAATGCATCTATAAGGTCTCTAGGCTCAATAACCCCAACTTTCTCAGCCTGTCTTCGTAGGAGAGGTGCAGCAGTCCCTCAGATCATAGTTGTGGCCTTCCTCTGGACCCTCTCTAACAGGTCCGTGTCTCTCTTACGTTGGGGACCCCAGAGCTGATTACAGTATTTCTAGATGGGATCTGAGAGAGTAGAGGAAAGTGAAAGAATCACCTCCCTAGATGTGCTAGCTACACTTTTGACGCAGCCCAGAGTAGGGTTAGCTTGCAGAGCTGCAAGCTCATACTGCTGGCTCATTCAGTTTTTCATCTACCAATACCCCCAAGTCCTTCTCTGTAGGGCTGCTCTCTATCTGCTCATCATCTGGTCTATATTCATGTTTGGGATTGCCCTGACCCAGGTGCAGGTCCTTGCACTTGTCCTCATTGAACTTCATGAGGTTTGTATGGGTGTACCTCTCAAGCCTGTCAAGATCCCTCTGGATGGCATCTCTTCCATTCAATATGAGGAAAAGGAGACACTTGTTCTCAGAAACTGCACCTCGAATACTATGTTCCGCACCTGGAGTACTGTGTTCAGTTTTGGGCCCCTCGCTACAAGAAGGACATTGAGGTGCTCGAGCGAGTCCAGAGAAGGGCGACCCCCTGGTGAGGGGTCTGGAGAACAAGTCCTACGAGGAGCAGCTGAGGGAGCTGGGCTTGTTCAGCCTGGAGAAGAGGAGGCTCAGGGGCGACCTTATTGCTCTTTATAAGTACATTAAAGGAGTGTGTAGCGAGGTGGGAGTTGGTCTATTCTCCCATGTGCCTGGTGACAGGACGAGGGGGAATGGGCTAAAGTTGTGCCAGGGGTATTTTAGGTTGGATTTTAGGAAGAACTTCTTTACTGAGAGGGTTGTTAGGCATTGAAATGGGCTGCCCAGGGAAGTGGTGGAGTCACCATCCCTGAAGGTCTTTAAAAGACGTTTAGATGTTGAACTTAGCGATATGGTTTAGCGGAGAACTTGTTAGTGTTAGGTCAGAGGTTGGACTCGATGATCTAGAGGTCTCTTCCAACTTAGACAATTCTGTGATTCTTTGAAAATAGTCTGAATAATTTGTGTTTTGTCTTATTCACTGTCCAGGACTGTACTATGTAAAAAGCATTGGTATATCAGCTTTCATTGGCCATATCAGGGAATCTAGGGTATTTTTTGACATAATGACTTCTGTTTTTCTTTTCATTTATTTTCTGGCACTTTTATGTGTATTCAGTGTTGAGTTTAAAATTAAACAAGTATCAGTCTGATGCTAGATTCACTGCTGTCTGCATCATTCTATTACCTAGACGCATGCCAAATACAAAAGCATAAATCTTAATATGTAAGATGAATTGTGTAGATGTCTGTAGTCTTATTTTGTAGACTTTGTCTTTAAATATAAAATTTATGCAAAAACTTAGGCAATTTTTTTTTTCTGTCAGAGCACAAATGCAATGCAAATTATGAAATACTGATGTTGGAAAGGAGACAGAAGAGTGCCTACAGGCATTAATTGGGATGAAACAGCTGTTTCTGGACTGATAGAAACAGGTGGTACTTTTGTAAACTGTGTTTTCTTGGATTGCTGCCAAAGAAACATGGAAAATTGTACCTGATTACTTTAGATAGGCAAATAGAAACATGGAGGCTTTTATGTCATTACTTGGTTGTGTAAACACTACTGACAGAATTGCAAATATACCAAGTAAACTAGCCGCAGACTTCTAAAATAGAAATGTATCATCTCAGTGTTCCCCTGTTTATACCTTGAAAAGAACTGCTACTGCTCTCAAATGATTTGTAAGTCTACTAGCAGACGAATTATGGAAGAGGTTTTTTTAATTTGTTTCAGATCAATAATTAGAAGATAAATTCACCTAGCTGTTCCTGACTCTTGCTCTTCTAGTTGTAGCAGCCCTATTATCTAACGGATTTGATGCACACTTCCATTATCTTTAAAGAAAGTATAAAGTCATATTGTTGGACTTGGTAAGGTTTATAAGGTGGTTATTGTCTTTTCTTCCAAGCTGTAACTTTGAAATAGAGGCAAAGTAACTTTAGTATCATGTTAGTATATACCAAAAAGCAAATAATCATGCTGGATGCTAGAGTACTGATACGTATCTGTACCTGTCTAAATATATAGAATCAGAATTATTTAGGTTGGAAAAGACTTTCAAGATCATCAAGTGCAACCATCGGATTCAACTGACAAGTCCCATCACTGAACAATGTCTCTTACTGCCATGTCCACAGGGATGGTGATTTTGCCACTTCCCTGGGTAGCCCATTCCAATGCTTGATCACCCTTCCTGTGAAGAAATCCTTCCTGTTGTCCAATCTAAACCTCCCTTGATGTAACTTGAGTTTTTTTCCTTTTTTTTTTTTTGTGTACTATGTTTTAAAAAAAGTTTATTAACATAACAATGTAACATTTTAATTTTTATTACATTCTGCTTTTTTTTTTTTCCCCCTCCGTGAGTACTGAAGAAGTCTTCTGTAAATTTAGGAAAATCTGAAAAGGAAAGATGGAGAGCATAAGCCATTTTATTCAAATCAGGTCTTATAGCCCTCTCTCCATCCTGTGGTTTTGATGGTAATTGTGAGATTAGATTGCTTCACATCCTACCCCACCTCACCACTTGTTTGTAATCCTGCATCCATATGGAACTCCTGAAGATTGCTGTTGCTTGTTGGTAGGCAAGAATAACAGCCTTGCTACATAATGGCTTCCTCACAGGTTTTTATACTATGATTCTACATTATGCTACCAAAGGAACATAGGACAAGCTGAGCAGTCAGGCAAAAGAAAATGACCCTGGTTGTAAGAAAGCATATAGCACCTTGCCATATTTCTAAGCTGTTATAAGAGAGATTGTCAGCTGAGATAAGCACTTTAGAAGACAGAACTACTTTTTGATGCTGTACCACTTTAGTCTGGGAGTTTCTCCCTTCCTTTTGTTTATTTTACACGTCATGTTGCAATGAAAACAACCTAAGCTCACAGGAGCAGGAGAAGATTTAATTGGTGTAATGACTTAGTATCAGCTTATATCTGTGACTCTTCCTTCAGATTTTCCACCTGTATCCAAAAGGTGGAGAGCGTAAAAAGCCTCTCTTAGCGGAAAAAAAATCCCTTCAAGAACCTATTGCAGGTAACATCCACTCTGTGGGGTGGTGAGATTGTGAAATAAAGATTGCATTGCAGTGAGTCTCCTTTGCTCAAAGCACTAAATATACTACCCTTTGTCTGTTGGGAAAGAAGAGGAGAGATTCTTTTTGCAGAAGTTCATTCCAGATCTCTGTCTTTACACGTACAGTGACAGGAGATGGCAAATGAAAATTGTGTTGGCTTTTTTCATAGCTGATACCTTGTTGTCACAATGTGAAAACCTTGCTCACAGGGTCTATCATGAAGTTTTCACAGGGTTGCTCTTAAATCAAGCAGCTGTCCTGACAATGTTTTTCCCAGTGCTTTGCCTGACACTAAAGAAGATGTAATATTTCAAAGTAATGAGAACTTTGCCGTGCTCTCTTTGATGGGATAAGACCTTTTGGGCAGTCCGCTGCATATTCATGACCATATCCAGCCTGAAGAAAGGTTGAACTTTCCAGTTGGTTAAATATAAATAAGAGTTCCTGCTATTTCAATATTTTTTTTCTTCTTTTATTTTAGGTACTGTGATTCTTCAGATTTGAAAAGCAGCACTTTCTCTAAATGGGATGACAATTCAGATTCTTTTTGGAAGAAAGAAAATAATAGCGGAGAAGTTGATGTAATGCTAACTTCAAAAAGTACAGGATTTTCAGACAGGTATGCCAAGATAGATGATTTCTGTATAGAAAGTCCAAGGATGTTAATAGAATTTGAATCCTGGTCAGAGTAGTGGGATTTTTTTTCAGACTAGAGTGAGAATTTGGTCATAGCTTTGATCAGCAGGCAAGAAACTTACTTCCTAGATGATTTTTTTTTTTTGTAAGCTGACTTTCCTGTTCAGTTTCTTACATATAAACACTGTTTTGCTTATTGCTGTGCAGTGTATCTACTGGAGGCAGTTTTCTTCAGCAAAAGAAATAGTAGATAAAAGATATTTGAGGTTCTCTCCATCTTTGTACTGCTTTGAGAATTTGCTTGCTTTACTTGCTTTGTTTGTTGTCTGATGAACTAAGTAGAATCGAGTTACCAAATGAATGAAACTGTAGGGTACTCAACTCTCAGGATTAGGATATTGGGTATGCGTGCAAACAGCAGGTCTACTTGTGATGATAAAAGACAAATGTGTTTCTTCTAGTGACAACTGTGTTTTTATCTTTGTAATGAGCTGGAAGAATGTAAGAATATGGGGTTTTGCGTACTTCCCTGTCTTATTTGCCTCTGTTCTTATTTAAAAGGGTATTCTTCATTTACCTGTACGTTTCAGTACAAATTTTTACTACAAACATCCTCTACTGTTTTCTAAAGATTTGACCAGTAATACATACAGCACAAAATTGGTGTTGATGTCCATAGTGCTATTACTTCCTTATTTGAGCATGTTTGTTAAAAAAATAAATAAACAGTTGAATATGCATGTTTGTTGAGATAGAAGGAAATGATACTTCAGAGGATGCTGAACATTTGTACTGTTAGGTTTCAATATGAATTGTGCTTTGGGGTGTTTTTTTTGAAGCTTTGTAGGAATATTCTACTCTAGTTGATATAATTTTGGCTTGCTTTTTAAATAAACTCTAAAAATAAAGATAAAGGATTAACGAATTTTAAGTACTGTATGTTCATTGTCTTGTAAAACTGTCACTGAAATTTTATTTCCTCCATATAGGATAAATTATTTGAATTTTTGTCCTATCTTCATACTGATCTAATTTCAACTTAAAAATCCCAAAGGCTTCACAAAACAAAGATGATAGTACTTCTTTCTTGATTTTTTTGCATTGTTGTGATATAAATGTTACACTGGTAATGTGGGTTATTTTTTTCTTAGGCCTGCATCTTGTCGTAAGCCTGAATATGAGCCATCTTTATGCACAGATGAGGCACAAAAAAAATTTGGCAATGTAAAAGCAATTTCATCAGACATGTATTTCGGAAGACAAGATCATGCTGATGTAAGTAGAAAGCAATCATAAATATTTGTGAATGGGAAAATATTCTTTGGCTTTAGAGCATGGTATTGTGTAAAGTAGTAGCTAATAAATGCTTAAAATCTGTAAAAATAGTAAGTTTGTAGAATTTTGTCCATCTGCATGTTTGTTTGATGGAAATGTACCAGTCTACCAGTCTGCAATAACTGATAGTTCAGTATGTCCTTTCAAGGAGTTAGGGCTGCTGGTAGAACCTTACCTCCAACATCATTCTTCTCTGATAGAGGTGGTAGGTTATGATTGAGTAATCTGAGTAATCTTTGTTTCTTTCAAAAAAAAAATAAAAAAAAATCTGATTTTGGACAAAGGGTTACTTCTTCCATTCTAAATAACTACACTGATGCAAGCAAACTATTGATAGAAGTAGCTGTCCCCTATGTATTTAAGTGGAAACATTATTACTACTATAAGACAAATTAAGCAAATTGTTCAGCAAATGGCATGTAATTGGATCAGCCTGGAAATAAAAAAAGCATAAATATTATTTAGAATTTTGAAGGCAAGGGTTCGCTTAACAAATTCTATTTTCAATGAAAACATTCACAATATAAACAGTGATGTAAAAAAAATAAATATATATAATTACTAAGATTATATTATATTATTATAATTACTATATAATTACTAAGATTATATTATATATTTTTTTTGGTAAAATATATATATATATATATAATTACTAAGAACTTGCAAAAAGTTTATGTAAAAATCACATCATGTGATTAGAAAAGTTAACATGATGCTAAAATGGTGTGGTTTTCCCTAACCCTACCTAGCCACTATTTCACATTTTTTGTTGTTGTTTTTAATGGTTGAATTGTGCATTATTCTCTGCATAGTCATCAACAGCTGGTTTTAGGGGAGCTAATAGTGAATGGGCCTCTTGGTGTTGCAATGGTAAATGCCACATCATTTGATGCATTCAGAAATGAGTTGAGAGGACAAGCTCATGCTGCATAGGTTATGTGAAAACTAATGGTAACGGCTTTCAGAATGGTCAACTTCAGATGGATTTGTGTATTTTAAAACTGAATCTGTAATCTCATTGTTAATTATCTGACATAAACTCAAAAGATTGAAACATATTGTTACAATACTTTTTTCTTCTCAATTATTTTCTAGTATGAAGCTAGGGCCCGCCTAGAAAGACTTTCTGGAAGTTCCTCTATAAGTTCAGCGGACTTGTTTGAAGATCAGAAAAAACAACCAGCTGGTACGTATTTAACAGAGAGACTCTAGCGTGCTGTGGGATACACTCCAGTACTCTGCCTCTAGTCACAGTATCAAAAGTTACCTGTTTCTGTAACATTACATTTATGTAAGATAATACCTAAATTCACTATCAGGTAGTCTTAATAAGCTACCATAAGGAACATAAGTGTATGTACATCTGTGTGAAAATAGCTGCAATAATTGTATTGAATCTAAGAGGATCTTTATTGAAATGTTAGAGGGCTTGAACTTCCCATATAATCTGTTGTGTGGCATATCCATTCATCAGGATATCTGCTTCAAACACTGGTTTTGCCAAATTAGTAAGGAAAATTTGTGAGTTGTTTGTCAGTTCAAGAGATTCGTTGGAATACCTCATACTGGAGAGTGCAGATCATCTAGTTAGGAAGTAGTACTAATTAGACTGACTGAAAGGTAGTGCCTTACGCTGTTAAAAAAAAATCTCGTGTTTGCTTTCTAACACCTTTTCTGGATAGTGCAGTAACATTAAATAAAAAAGGTAAGAAGTACTAGAACGTTTCATTGAGCTGATCAGTTGGGTTTTGTTCTGTAACTGGTGAAGAAATGTAGAAAAAGAATTATAGAAGAACTCAAAAACTCTGTGCGTAATTACATAAATAGGCTGGAAAAGCAAATAATATGTAGCATCTGTGGAAAAAGTGGAGGAAAAAAAATGTGACTGTTCAGTTTCAATCCCCTGAAAGCAAGTTTTGATTAAAAAATATTGGCTAGTAGAGAAATAACTCCTGTTACTAGTTATTTAAGCTGGATTTTAGTCAATTTATTTAAAAAAACAAAAACAACAACAACAACAAAACAACACCATTCCCAAAAAAAAAAAAAAGGCAAGGAGAAGAGGAAACAAAGCAGAAATTGCAGCAGTTTTCTTAATCACACACACACAGAATCACACACACAGAATTTCTAGGTTGGAAGAGACCTCAAGATCATCGAGTCCAACCTCTAAGCTAACACTAACAGTCCCCACTAAACCATATCCCTAAGCTCTACATCTAAACGTCTTTTGAAGACTTCCAGGGATGGTGACTCCACCACCTCCCTGGGCAGCCCGTTCCAGTGAAAGCGTATTTGCAGCATGGTGTCATACCTGTGCTTTAAGACAAGGTGTAGGGGAAAAAAGAAACGTTTCATTCTGAATTTGTAAACTATAATATTTTCAGTACTATATGTCTAAATATTAGATAGTAGTACTTCCTTTTTATTTTTTACATATACATTATTTTATATGTAATTATATTTTTGTTACAATTTGTGTAGTCTGTGTGGGGTTTTTACGCAGTAGTTAATAATGGACTGGGAAAAGGTAAATACAACTTAAATGTGGGGCAAATTGTGTTAGTGTTTTAGATATATATTTTTTTTTATCAGGTTAAGCTCAAGTAGAATTTCAACTATACTATGTCATTTCATAACAGGCTGTAAATATCCTTACTCAGAATGTGGAATTTGAGGCTTCTGTAGCATATATGTGTATATATGCTGTACGTACGTGTGTATATATAGGAATGAGCCTTTCTATGTGCACATGTTAAAATTCTGACCATATTCTGAATAAGGGTACTTATATAAAGCTTAATATGTGCACACATTTTTTCACTACTGACCACCTGGAAAGTCTCTTAGGGCTTGGGGAATACAGGGATATATAAAGGAATTAAAAATATTTTCCTATGTTTGAAGGTAAGTTACTGTGACTGGCAACCATGTTACATAGTCCAACAGTAAATTTGAAGTAATATTACAAAGGCCAAACTCTTTTCCTGGGCTGTTACTTGTCTGAAATGATAGCCAGTAAATAATACACCAGGAATTACTAGTTCTTGTGTTCACATTCTATTCAGGCTATAGAATTTGCCTTTCCTGCGTGTTTTTCCTGTTACAACCCCTGTATTTTTTTATGATGACCATTCTTTGAGAAAATTTACTGCACTGATAGCTTGTCTGGTGTCGAATTAATGCCAAGGCCATCATCAGTTCCATAAAATGAACGTAATCAGGAGACCAGTGGTTGGCAACAAATACGCTGCTGTAATTCTGGAGTCCTTGTCAGTGTAAAATCTCCTTTGAAACTGAAGTTGTTTTCATGAGATTTTACATTGGAACAATTTCAGGGTGTCTGCCTTTATTTAGAATGCTATAGGATCTATTTACCAAAATGAGAAAACTGCAAGAAAAAGCCTTTTTTTTTTTTTTAATGTATTGCTTATGAAAGATGGCATGTCAGATAGCTAACTTCTAGATGCTGATTTTGAAGGAAATCACAAGAAAAGTTGTTTTCCTATATAATTTACAAGAAGTTTTTCAGATAACTGTACAAAACCAGAAACAGGAGAAAATTCATTTGTTTGAGAAAAGAGTAGAGCTTTACCCAGCTTACTTATATCTGTTTTTTTTTTTTTTTAATTATTTTTTGTACTTTAATTGCAAAAATGCTGAAGCATTTGTTAAATGGAATGGATCATAAGAAAGTCAAAATTACAATTCAGAAATAGGGATACCTCCTTAATAATGAGGCTTTGAATAATAATTTTGAAAAGAATCTATGGACAAGTGTGCCCATCCTACTAGCTGCTTTAGAGAATGGGGTGGGAAGCTCACTAACAACAGTGTGTCTTTCACTATGAACCAGCCATTTAGTTTACTCAAGTCACTCTAGCCATAGCAATGTCTGTTTCAGCCTGATGTTAACTTAAGTACCTTAAATTGCAATGAGAAGTGGAGCTGCAGGTCTCCCTTGGAGGGAAAAAGAAAAGGAAAAAAATAAAAAGGAAAAAAGGCAGTCAGTATATAGTAATGCTGTCAAAAGGAGTTACAGTTCAGAAGAGTGCAGTGTCTGTGGTTGGATGAGCTTGTGTGCAGTTTGATAACTGTGTTACTTACAAGAAGTGTTCTGGCTGATCATGACTACCAGTTGACTGCATGCCTAAATTAGGGCTACAGATTGCAGTCTCTGTTTTGAACATGTCCTGCTTTGGTATGCTTCCTGTCAGGAACTTCATTTATTTCCAAAATGATAGTTTTGCAGTACTCTTTCACTGCCATTTGTGTTCTTTACAATATCAGGCATTTAGCGTCTTTCCAAATAGTTTGCAGTATTCAGGCATGCCAGTAATTCTTTTCACTATTGAGTGGTTGATTGTAATTGTTAGTATGTTAATACTTACAATGCAGTTAGTTTTGAAACACCTTTGCCATCTGTCATTTTTGGGCCTGTACTTCTTATAATAGCAGTAGAAGTAGTAACTCACTGGCCAAAAACCTACATTGTTTTAAGGAAGGGTGGATTGCCAGATTTGTTTTGGAGTCCTAATCGTGCTATGTAAATGACCTTGACTATAATTCTATGGAATTTTCCAAGCCTTTGATGTAGTAATGCAAAATATGTGTGTATGTACGCAAGCAAATGACCATATGCACACAAATAGGGTTCATTACTTTAGCTACCAGTGAAATGCGTTCATGTTTAAATTGCAACATAAGAACAGCTATTGAAGATACAAGACAAATGTCATTGCAGCAGGTTGAAAATGCAGAGTAAATCATCTATTATCCAAACATAATTTGCTCAGCTGGGAATACGAAGTGTAGAAAATGACAGGGTGGGTAGAAATATGAGGAAAAAAAAAAAAACAAAATGGATTTAAGAAATGAAAGATTTAGGCCTACTGTTTTTATAGTGATTATCTTCATGGGGGTAAAAAAAAAAAAAAAAGAGACTGAAGAGACTGCTTTTTACAGAAAGTTTTCTTTTTGTCTTCATGTGTATTCTTCCTTTAGGAAGCTACAATATTACGAATGTCTTGCCTTCAGCTCCTGATATAGCGCAGTTTAAACAAGGAGTGAAATCAGTGGCTGGAAAACTTTCTGTACTTGCTAATGGAGTCATGACATCTATACAGGTTAGTGAAAAATAATATGATTTATTACACATCAGTTAAATTATTTTTATAGGGATTTAGTGTCATAGATCTTCCTAATGATTCACTAGCAGGAAAAGAATGAATTTGTTTCTGAGTTTTATAGACCTGTTATGATAGACAGTAGATCTTTATCTTTTTAAAAGTAAATCTGCAGCTGATAGCACACCTTTCTTAGAATGTCTTTTTGTTTTTTCCTTACCAAGTTTTTTTTTCTTAGAATCCAAACAGAAAATCTAGCATGGGAAGTTACTTGCTCTCATCTTCTTGTTATAGTTCCTAGCTCTTGTATTGGTTCTTGAACTGATTTGACAGTAATACCTTAGATCCATATTTGTGCACACAATTAATACATCCTGTTCTAAATAGTGTAAAGCTTGCCTCCAGTTTACATTTCCCATATGAGGGAAGTGGGAGCTCTTGTATATTTGAAAGTGAGGCTGATTATCCCACAGTTGAGCTGTAAGCTCCAGTTTTTTGAAGCAATGGTCAGTTTTTGTAAAGACTTCAATAATTAAGCTACTATTTATTGTACAAATGTAAACTGATTTCTTTCAATGGAAACAATATTCATGCCTGTTTTTTCTTTGTTTTTGCTTTTCTAGGATCGATATGGCTCATAACATCTTGTATATCAATTAAGTACACTAAAGAAGAATTTCATTTTGGATACACAAGTAATCACACTGCTGATTTGAATGAAGATTGCCTTAAGACTGTTGATATTTTCAATTGTTCCAGCATATTTGTTGTGGAGCTTTCTGTCTCCCCCTCTTTTTACTGCCATTTCATCTTTACAGAGCAGAAATCTTGTAGAAACTTGTTACATTGAATATGCTTTTTTTTTTCTCCCTGTTACAGTCTTGTATTTCTCTTAGTGACCTTAATGATGTTGGGATCTGTCTTTTATTACTGTTTTGGCTGTGAGGCAGGGAAGAGAAAGAAGGATGAACGTGTGCTTTGAAAATGAGACTTTGTAATAGAAACCTCTGTGCAGTTGCATCCTTAGTTGCCAGACATGTCTTCTGACTGTCTTATGAAATGCGGAGAAAATTTAGATTAAGCATATGCTGAGATGGTGTTTAGTGGACTGTAGCAGAACATAGAATTAAATTAAACCTGTGCTTTTCAGGAGGAAAAAGCTCTTGCAGTCATAAATTGATGTGCATTAAAATGATGGGGACTTAGTGTTTTAAAACAATATTCCTACTAAAAAATGTTATGCTTAATGTGAAGTATAAAGGAGAAAAAGATATCTGGTATATTGAATAATAGATTTCATCTTGTCATGGGAACAATCTATTTATTCCTAGTTTTGAAAGTTTTTAAAAAATTGCAATATAGAATCCTTAAGTGCTTTAAAAAATAATATGCATTGTGTACGAATTGAAAAAAAAAAAAAAGAAAATGTGTAAAGGGCCTAATATAAAGTAGTTAGTAAAATACTTGTTAAAATGTTTAGAACAATCTTAGTTTTTTGATAAATTATGAAGTATTGAATGAGAAAATCTAGTGGGGCTGTGTTTTAGACAGTCTAGAATTTTTGTTGATGACATCTTGTATAAAATAATTAGACCTTAAAGAAAAATCCTCACAACCAAGAATGAGCTCAAGCTAATTCTGTTCTGTAACTTTATTTCTTAATTCAAATTTGTAAACTGCTGATATCTAATAAAAACAATTGATATAAACTGATTTTTTAATTAAATTTATATGTACAGATGCCAGTCTCCAGCTTTCTAAATACTGCCATCTGTATTCTGTCTGTACAATGATCTGGTAAAATTAGCCTTTAATTTCAATTAGTGAAACTAGCTTTCTTATTAAATTGATATCATGGTTTAGAAATCAAAGCACTAAGAGTGGGATAGAAAAGCAAGCTACTGTATTGAAATACTATGTGGAAATACGGTTCACATAGTATAGCTGTATTTCTTTTTTTGTGTTTCTTATAACTAACTCTCACTTCTAGTAACTTTCTCTTGTGTCTTTTCATAGAATCATAATATATCCTGAGTTGGAAGAGACCAGCAAGGGTCATGGAGTCAATCTCCTGGCTCCACACAGGACCACCCAAAACCAGACCCTGTGTCTGAGAGTGTTGTCCAAATGCTTCTTGAACTCTGGCAGGCTCAGTGCTGTGACCGCTGCCCTGGAGAGCCCGTCCCAGTGCCTCAGAACCTTTTCCTAACACCTAGCCTGACCCTCCCCTGTCATGAGGGAGCTGCAGGCCACCATGAGGTTTCCCCCTCAGTTTTCTCTGGGTTGAATAAACCAAGCGTCCTCAGACGCTTCTCACATGTCTTCCCCTCTAGACCTTTCTCTATCTTTGTAGCCCTCCTTCGGACACTCTCTAACAGTTTGTGTCCTTCTTACATTGTGGTGTCCCAGACTACACATAGTTCTCAAGGTAAGGCCTCTGCAGCGGAGAACAGAGCAGGACAGTCACTTCCCTTGACTGACTAGCAATGCTATGCCTGTTGCACCCCAGGACACAGCTGGCCCTCCTGGCTGCCAGGGCACAAGTTGCTATTGACCAGAACCCCCAGATTCCGTTCTGCGGGACTGCAGCCCCAGACTCCAACCTCTTGTCAGCCTGTGATTGGAGGTAGGGGATGATACTGCTACAAGTGTCACAGATTTTAGAACAGATGATAAAACTATATATTGGGTCTGGTTTTCCCGCAAGTGAAAGCACTTTGAAAAGCACTTCTTGCTTTTCAAAGCTGGAACTGAATGATGGCAGCAGCGAAGCAGCTAGTCTGAATCATTAAACTTCCCTCTTCTTCTGAAAGAATATATCTCTCTGCATATAAGGGGAGGGGAAAGAGGATTATTTAATACTTGACATTTCAGAGAGTTTATTTCTGTATATTAAACTGCATGGCATAGAACAATGTTTAAAGGTAGTTAGAACACCAGAGCCAGCAATAACTCAGTGCAAAGAAAGACCTGTACTGTTTGATGCAGACATGTACAGAGATGCTTCCATGAGTAAACAGAAGGGGAATCTTGATACCATCTGTTTTTCTTGCTTCTCTCTGCAAAACGAGAAGTACTCAATTTTGTCATTCTGGTCTGCTTAGCATCAATTTGCTCCTTTGCAAGTGGCAGTACCAGAGCCACTTGCATGCTGATTTCAGCTTTTTGTTTTAGAAAGATTTTGTAGTATAAGAGTTGCCTGAATGACTCCATAGCATAGGAGTTTGTAAATATTACTTTAGATGCATACACTTTCACATTGCTCCTGTCCTGCTCTTGAGTCAGTCTACCTGTCATTGTAAATCAAGGCTGAAACTGTAGACCATATAAAAAAGGTTATGTGCCTGATTCAATTTTTGAGGACTTCTACACAAAATAGCTTGTTTTGCATATGTAACTCATGCATCTGAGACTGGATTCTCTTTGATCAGTTATGGCCAAACCAGTGTCCTACAGACCTGATCACGGCTTCAAAGACAAACAGCAACGCTGCCTTTACCTTCTTACAAGGTCAGCTACAATGGTCAGAGTACATTACTTCCAACTTCGATGCTTCCATTTTTAATTCACTCATAAAGTCTCTTTTTTAAAAACCTTCAAAAGGAACCTAGCAATGTAAGCAATTCCCACACAAAGCCATATGATCTCATGGTTCATTTTAGACTTTGATTTCTGAGAGAGATTCCCTTCACATAGTAAGCACTGTTGTTGTACCAAGATGTGAAAAAAGAGAAGTATAGCCCTGAGGAAGCCTTGTGTTGTTTGTGTCCTGTTTTCAAACCATGCAAGAATAGTTCTGCATCCACTCTGTGAAACTTTTAAGAGTCTTCAGTAGCCCCATGGTTTTTAGAGAGAAAAGAAGGAAAGGATCAGTACTTGTAAATTCTCTCCACCTTCAATTTTGCTTGCTGCTCCATACTCAAGCTCCACAGCACTTCTTTAGATTTGTAGCTTTGAATTTTGTGTGGCTAGTCTTACCTTCTAGTTCTCTTTGGTTGTCTCTAAGAGCTCTTATGAGATCTTGAAAGTAGCTGTTTCTGTACAAATTAGCTAACAAATTCAAATCAGTTACCTACTTGTATCTGTGGCTGTTTGAGAAGTCTTATCTTGCCTATTTGCAATCTGCAACACCAAAAGGTGCAGGTCTTTGTAGTGCTGTATCATTAATCACATACACAAGGACATCTAAAGTATCTGCAAGTGGGCTACTCTTATTTTTAGCAGTACAGGTATCTACTCCCCAGCATTTGTACTGAAACTCCATATGTTTACAGCAAGGATGTTTTCTCTTAGCTGGGAGATTGGTATGGTATTCCTTGATGAAGGGTAGAGAAAGTAATTGTTGTTGACAGGCTGGTTCGAGAAGGCATACAACAGGAGTGTCCATAATGTGCAGACAGTGTGGAGTGGGTAAGCAGGAGGGAGATTTGGTGATGGGAATGTGGAGATCCTACACTGCAGGATCCTATAGTATGAGAATAAAGGATTCTGCTGTCTGAAGTTTGTAAGTCACGTTCTTAACTGGTTCATCAACTTATGGGTCAGTCAATACAACAGCATTTATATCTGTATTTGTTGATGAGGTATTCTCTTGGTTTCTATAGCTGAAATGATCTCCTTAGGGAGAATAACATGGTATACAGTGCTTTGAGGCCTGCTCATGGAACAGCTTGATCAGAAATGCTATATATACCAGAATGAAATTATATTGCTAAACATGTAGTTGTTCTGTTACTTTACCTCCACTCAAAGATTTGCACATAGAAAGGGAAGATGCAGACACGGTAATGTTGCTAGAAGCTCCTTTTTCGCTATCTGTAAAGACCAGCTGCATGATAAAACATGTGACCACAGCAGGAAAAGACATAGGACCTATTACTGAATATTAAGAAAGGGGAAGGAAATTGAAGTTGCTTGTGTTTTTTTTAAAGAAAGATTTAATTTGTTATCCAGATGCTCTGACTGAGCAATGGGTTCTGTCAATAGGCAGCCCATGAAGCTCACAGTGCTTGGGCTCAAGATTACACTTTCAATTCTGCGTAGTAATCCCTTTGAGAAACTGATTTAGAGCTGAATTTTTAACGTAGAGTGGCCAGCCATTGAAAAGGCACCTGCTCTCCTTTTCCATTTTCTTGTTACATGGGTATGAATTTCTACATTGCTTTCTGGTAATACAAAATGTGCTCATCATGTATCCTGTTTCCTGTTTATCTCAAAATTACTTGGTGCTGTAATAATTCATGACTGATACAATTACAAATGTGAGTAATGCTGGGAGATCCAGAATCATTAATAGGGTGCGTTTGAGATGCACAATTCATTGTAGGTTTGACAGTGTGGAAGTGAATTGGGCTGTATTTTATTGATAACTGTCTGGATTGCATATATTTTCCACTCCACATTTACAGGTACTTGTTTTCAATACCTGAAGGTGGCTGCTGTGTAAACATAAATGCCACCCTTTTCTCTCTCCAGTGCATACTAACATCAGAAAACACAGGAAATGCAAAGCTTTAGGTGAATTTTCTAGATGAAGTCTTAATTCAGACCAAACATCCACTGAGGAGGAGTGAGTTTTTAATACCTGATAGCAACAGGGAAAAACTGATATCAAACTGAAAGCTGGTGTGGTGCCATGGTTTGGATTTAGGAGGAAAATGATAATGGGGATGTTTCAGCTGCTGCAGAGCAGGGCTCACACAGAGCCAAGGCCTTTTCAGCTCCTCATGCTGCCCTGCCAGCGGGAAGGCTGGGGGTGCACCAGGAGCTTGCAGGGGGAACAGCCACCACAGGTGACCCAATTGGCCATCACATCCCAGCAGGCATCGTGCTCAGCAATAAAACTGGGGGGAGTTGGCTGGGGCAGCTGCTCTTTCTTAGGGAGTGGCTGGGCATTGTTCAGTGGGTGGGGAGCAATTGTGTTGTGCATGGATTACTTTGTGTATTTTTATTTTTATGCTCCTTTCCTTTTTTGCCCTGTTCCACTGTCTTTATTTCAACCCATGGGTTTTGCTTTTTTGTTATTATTACTATTTCATTTTTCTGATTGTCTCTCCAGTCCTACTGGAGGAGAGTGAGTGAGCAGCTGTGTGGTGCTTAGTTGCCCGCTGGTTTAAAGCACAACAGTCCTTTCTGATGTCCAATGTAGAGCACAAAGGCTTGGGATAAGAATAGATCTGACCAGAGAGTGTCAGAGAGAACACATTGGTTTATTTGTGTAATAGCTGCTGGCTGTGATGTTGATTTATTGACTCTCAAAGTTACATATTGTAACCCCTTACTTGCTATATATGCTATATGCTCCCAGTTGTGCTTTTTATCATCTCTGGGGCCTGGTTTAAGGTTGCTTTTAATTTTATCACTTTGCTGTACAGTGTAACACTGGCTCATGATATGGTAAAATTTCCAGTCATGAGCCTAATCTGGCATTTGTATTCAGCATTGCCGTCATCTTCATCCTTTGAGAACAATGTCTTGGAAACTATTAACAATTACACTCTTCACCTTTTCTCCTTGGAGGGCCAGTCTATGGAGGGAGACAAGGGAGGACACTTTGCTCTGCTCTTTCACCTTCCCTTACTCCATCTCTCTCCACTCCAGGTTAGTTGAAAATTTTGAATATCCTTCAAAGCAGCATGATTATATTTCTATGTCTCCAGAATATGTTTTTGTTTTTGTCTAAGGTTAAATAACTATTTAAGAATACCACCTAGAGATCTGCCCCAAGGCTGGATGGTTAT